ATCTATAATTTATAAATATATCAAAGGTCACGGGTTTGAATCCCACCAAAACCGCGGAGTTTTGCCCAATATGGTTAGATTTGCTAAATGCAATTAACACCTAGGCGTGCCTTTTAATTGCAGCCCAAATATTTTTATGAATGGCCGCTGGATCACCCGTGATAACCGGAGAATCGCCAAGTCAGATGACGACAACTGGCACATAGTAGAAGGTGTTTGTTTCGAAGGCCAAGTTATTGAGTCTCATAGAACATATGTTTCACTACTATGATACACTGTTTCTACCATGAACAACAGCCGCTACCCTTCCGTTTCAAATTTGCAGGATGCCATGTTTAGAACTACGTCCGCCTAACGGGCGTTTGTTTAAAAGTGGCATGAGGTATTGTTCTCTCTCTATCTCAGCCTCCAAGGAATGCATTTATTTAATCCGCTCTTCTATGTTTTTTGTCAATGTAACTCGTCGATGTAACTTTCCAGTGTGCAGGAAATAGCTCTGCGGTTCTGGGACAAAAAAGATCTGGAGGAGGAAACCGTAGGCTTAATCATTGAAACACTGAAGTATACTAATCTGCTGGAATTCTTCCATTCGGAAGGTGGAAGTTGCAGGGATCTCGATGTCAAACTGGTTTCCTCTCTCACCAATCCAGGTAAGCGCTCACATCAAAACGCCGAGTAATAAATAAATTAGATGAACAGATTTTCAAATTTGACTTCTCCTCGTATGACCCTTAGTATAATGATAAAAACCACGACGGGCTCTTCCCGACATGCTTCAAACACTCTCAGCACTGGCCATTCGATTTGAATATACTTTCCCCACCCCCCCCACCCTCATGGGCGACAGCTTTTCTCCTTAAAATCTCTCAAATGGCATTAAAAACCCTAGAATTTTCGAACAATGCCAAGGAGTTTTTTCAGTGTCGGCCCTTTTTTACCCAATTCCAATTACTGGCAACGCCACTCTTTTGAAATGTTCTGCCGAAAAAATGGATTGTATGACTGTTCGGTACGAATCGGGAGTTCAAAGGTATTTACCTGCATCTCCCTTGATAAAATCTAATCTGACCCGACTTATACAAACGAAAACTGTGCAAGACTTTGGGCTACCTCGAAGTATCAATGCATGCGAGCCCTAGAAGAAGAAGAAGAAGAAGAAGAAGAAGAAGAAGAAGATGGGATCGCTGGGACAATGCTTTTTATCCACCGGCCGTTTCGAAATCTATCGCGGATTCTTCATCAGAGACGTTAGTATAAACAGTAGCAGAAACGGGTAATTTATACAGGGGGTTGCAGTATTTATAGGATACAGTCACTTTGATAATGCACACTTATGACAAATAAACGACTCCTCGTATCGACTATCATTGCCCGCTTGTGCGTTAATGCCTTGATGACCAGCTGAACTTTCCTCACTCATGCTGGATTTGGACGCGATGATTGCTCTGCCGTCTGGTTCTCCGGCCTTGGCGTTGGATGACGCGTTGGCCTGTGCGTTTCCCAAGCGGCCACTAGCTTTGGCCAAATGGAGTCTCAGCACCGAATATGGATTTTACAGGTCGTTGCAGTTGTTTAATTACTGGGGGCCCGTGAACCATGACTTGCGTCATTCGCGGCTCAAACGACTGTCACATCTCGCAAGAAGTTCGGCCTCGTCAAATTTGAATGTGTGGTCGGATCTCATTAAATGAGCCGCAACTTGAGAATTGGCGTCGCTTCTCCGTACTGCTGTAGCGTGTTCAGCAATTCGCGTCTTCAGAAGTCTTCCAGTTTCTTCGACGTAGTTGTTTTGTCCAAAACTGCATCAAAAGGGGTCGGATCATGAAACAAAAATAGCCACTTTCATGGCAATAAGCGTCTGAAGTTGTCTAAAGGATCTGGTGCAGTTGCGGAAAGAGCAACTACGCCGGAGGAACTGGAAGACTTCTCAAGAGGAGAATTTCCGAACATGCCGCAGCACTGCGGAAAACTGGCGCAACCCTAATAGCAAAACGAGCTCGAAACAAGCTCGTTTCGTGCTCGCTAATTCGAAAAATCGAGCTCATTTTGGCCGCCTGTTCGAGCTCGAAACGAGCTCGAAAAAACGAGCTCCAAGCGAGCTCGCGTTATCGCGCCTGTAGCTGGAAAAATCGCATTTAATTTTTCATTCGGACAGGGGTTACCTCCTCTCCTGCCAAAACTCCCAATTTTTTCGAAACATAGCGAAATAGTACTTATTTGAAGACTGTTTGTTTAGTAGAATATATATTAATATTAAAAACGCGCTTCAGTATATTAGGGTACAAAAACGATAAAAAGTTTTCTTTAGCCGGTGTTTAGAATACTTGGTTACCAGAAAGCATCACTGTAGAGTTCATTGACGGCGCTGGTAGTCTGTACGGCCCTGGCGCCTCGACGTCATCGTGGTTTCGGATATATCTAAAAGAAGGAAATAAGGAAATTTGTACGTAAGTAACTAAAAGTAACGTAACAGCGAGAAACAAGGTTAAGTGGATAAGTGGACTCACTAATTTGGCACGTAGACTGCGAATATCGCCCATTATGCCGCTGATGCCGATCATGGGCGCGCTTGACGGCCTTGCGTATCTCCGTCCTGTCAGCATTGAGATCGCGGCACCACTGTTCTATTGCCTCTGCGTTGAAGATTGTCATAGCAGAAAAGGTATGTTCTTAGCAGTGACAATTAGATACAGGTTCAGGTCTTGGAATGATGTTTGGTGTACCTAGCGCCCATGAAAACGTAGCCAATCGGTCACTTCATCGGCAAAAAGGGCTCTGAAAACCCTATCGGTGGACAATGCTCAATTTGACGTATATCTTCAAGACAACCCCGCAATGCACGTCGTCCTAATGTTCCCTTTGATGGGGGCTTCCACATGCCGATGAAAAGAGCAACAACCAACGCGTTTACCGGATTTACAGTCACAGTAAGTAGAGTTCGCTTGTGCCTCTTGTCAGCAGATTGCGCCACATCACAATGGCGTCTGCTGCGCGCGAGAGCATGCAAAAATCGGTAAGCCAATCATCTATCGATTACGTAATTATCCCAACCAAGGATAAGTAAGCACGCGTGTAGCTCGCCTTTGCGTAGTACGATAACGCGTGCATTGCTAGTCGTGCAATTCTCAAGTTGTGAATCCATAAGTCACTTGATAGAACGGAAGTTGGGTTTCCGTTTGGTGATAGTCCTTTGGTGGAAATATCAGTCCTGCATTTCCAGTACAGCTTGATTAAAAATCAATGGACCATTTAATGAAAACATAAAAATGACACAAGCATGCAAATCTCTTTGGTTTGTCTGTTTGTCTGTTATCGCAGAGCTACGAGATTAAATTGTGAGCTGAAAGGAGTGAGGCCATAGGTTTAACGTGGAGCAGTTGAGCATAGCTAACAATTATTGGTGCTGTAGAACTTGACGTTAACGCGTCTCACCTCGTTTACAGAAATTTGGTAACCTGAATGACGTCCTTTATCCTTTTGTCTACTACCCCGCACATTTTCCTCTGTGTGCTATTACAATTTCGCGTTCCCCTTTAGTCCTCTTCAAGGAGACGCATCCGAGACATTCATGGAAGGCTAAACTGCGAATCGCTGTGCAATTAAATAGGACGGATTCCGTTCTGGAACGCATACTGGCCGACAGCCACTGGACGGTACGTCTTCACCGCATGGCTTTTTCATACCTTGGCTTAAGTTAATTTCGATATTGAGGTTGGACCCCAAAAAAACACGAAAACGCATCTGCTGTTTGAAGTCCTATTTTAGCAACCGGCAAACCTGTCTTCTAGGGCTACCTAAATATATATTCACCCGCCCAACTGTCTAGCGTAATTGGTGGTTAAACATTTAATACTTGGTTAAAGAGGGTAAATTAACATTTAATTGTTTCGAAGGTGATCAAAAAATATTAAATTAAAGCCACTTATGCTTGTTTCAATGAGCTAAATATAATGAACTCCATCGACACAAACTCCCATTGCTCAGGTATAGGATGTCTACTGATGGAAATTCAACCTTATATTGGCTGAATTTAACGGAAGGAAGTGAACGTCAGGCTCCTGAAAATATAAAAGTAGGTTATCGTTATGAATTAAAGGCAAATAGGACCTCTAAAGACAGTCCTGCCTAGTAACCAATAGTGTAAACTGGGTCGCTGGAGAAGGCATTTCAGATCACAGTCTGCGACCGCCAATGTACAAACCTGACCGCAAGTATTTCAGGCAAGGATTCCTCATAAACAATGCCGTAGTTTATTACTAAGATAAATAGACTGAATCAAAAACTAAACTAAACTAAAACTAGTAAAAATAAATACTGACCAAAAAATGTAACTTAACTAAAACAAATAAGATAAAACTACTAAGCTAAAATGAGTAGTTAGTTATGTAAAATAAACCACCATGTACTATATTTCATTGGAAACTATTGACGGTCATCAGAAAATTCGTCTCAACGAGAATAATGAAATGGTTTTACTGACCCCACTGGCAGTGAGTGGTGTCTGTGAACTTCTGAACTCTGCCTATAGCATGTGCACGAACTTTAGAAACTTTCTGAAGACTTCCATTTTGTGCATGTAACGCAGGTACAGGAAATGACACCTTTCGTAAAAGGCTGTCTCCTGGCGAACAAAGTCCAGTTCATTCGTTTGCTGGCAGACATTGGTTACCCTCTACACACCTTTGCCACAGAGAAGATCCTGGAGGAACTATTTACCGTGGAGGCTCACAAAAAGGTGAGTTGGTGTTTTTTTCCCATTAGCTTAGGTCTGTAGCCCAAAGGGCATTGAGTACTTATTGAATTCCAACGAAATATGGGAAGAAACTCGTGTGTACATAAGCAGTCGCACGTTCAG